TGAATGTATTGTCAAAGGGTTCATTTGCACTTTAACCATATTTACATTGAAAGTTTATTGACCAAAAGGTGAGGATGCAGCTAGTAGCTAGTAGTATATAGGCCTCCAAGCATCTTGGCTCTTACATTATATATTACAATGGAACCTTTCTTTTTTCAGGACTTAAGTAATTTCCCAACTTTTTTTGTTTTTGTTACCTTGATTTCAGATCCTGCTTCTTTGGTATCATTGATTGAAGATCACCACTTTCTGCCATTTCCTAAACATCCATAAAAAAGTCTTAGCTTGAAACTTTTCTTTATGAAGATCAAAGAAGCACTAGCACCAACAGACACATTGAGAATGAGATTCTTTGTTTGAACCATATTCATGGCTCTGACTCCCCTTAGTTACCATTGCTATGTCCCACAACCTCAACAAATTAGCTAGAATATCTCAGAATTTAAAGCTCTGGTCATATAAAATTAATTATAAATTATTTCTATTGTTTACCGTCCTTTATAGATCTAAAGAGTACTACCAGGATTACAAGGCTTAATAGTTCAATTTTCACAAAATAAATCAATGCAAGTACCTTAATGATGTCTAGTCCACCAATTAATTCACCATTGACGTAAAACTGAGGATATGTTGGCCAGTTGGAATAGTTTTTCAAACCTGGAAAAGAATTGAAAATATTATTGTCCATCCCAAAGGCCTTTTGCATCAAATAGTCACATACTAATATATCACTTTGATAACAAATCAATTTAGCCAAAGGCCCCTTACTGCCATTTTCATAAACATGCAACATGCGACGAGCAAACTTGGAAGCTGTGAGCTGCATGCTGAAATTTGGTTTTTCACTGCTGTGAGTCAAAAATATGAAACATTCGGACTGATTAGTTTTGATTGAATGCAGCGTAAAACCCAATTTCAGCATGCAGCTCACAGCTACCAAGTTTGCACGTCTATGAAAAGGCAGTAATGAAGGCTCTGCTGGATGGCAAACAAATTTCAAAATGCTTTTTATCATGAAATTAAAAGTGGCATGCGTGGTATATACTGCTAATGTGTCATCATTCACCGCTGTGATTCCAACAGATTGGTATGACCCATGCAGACTTCACATGTAAATATTGAGTTTGTTAGATGTGACACTGGTTTTTCTCCTGGTTCTCCYGTTTTCCTCACTCCGTAAAATTCAACATGCAAGTTGATAGTTTAAGAGTTTCTTTGTTCGTGGGAGTCATGATTTTACTACTTTTTTGTTTCATCCACGATTTTTATTTTCATATTCCTGCTCCGAGCTTTCTGGTTACAAACCCATCGTCAGGGAAAATCTGATTGAAATTACATTCAAAATTGCAAGACAACAACAATCACATGTGCGCTAGCTAACAAACATTACAATTGTGCCCGCGGAAAATAAATAAATGAATAATTAAATAGATAAATAAACAAACAAATTATATAGTCGATACTAGTGTTTGATCTTATTAATAAGTGGCACAACTATGTGGAACAGTCCTTCCACAGTCTCTATTGAACAGCACATTGTTCTTGGAAGCTATTAAAAATGCTTCAGTCCATTTGCGCTTAGACCAAGAAGCTTCACTAGCCATTGTAGTAGAGAGCTGTTTGTATAGATTACTGGAATATAGTAAGGAGTGTGTATGGAGGATACAAGGGAAAAATATGGAGGATATACGGGAAAAATCAATAGTTACCTTGTCGAACTTCATCGTCTTTCAGAATGTCAAAGGAACCATAATCAGCACCCACATTTTTTAAGACCTCAACCACCTGTCTGCTAAAACCTAACATTATAATTCATGTAATATTAATGTATTAGAAACCTCGAAATACAAAGGGAGAGCTCTTTCTTAGTGGAAACAGATCCTAAAAAGGGTCCTTTGAAATCCCATTTTAGACCATGTGTCATTCTCATTCATGTGTTATAATCTTGTCTCCCCAATTAGTAGGGCACTTGTGCCCGGCTAGAAGATATAGAGACATTAATAAAGTTATTATTATTATTCTCTTGAGAATATGTTTCTTCATTTGAGTTGTATCCATATCATTTGTGTCTGCTGGTGTGCAACTGTTAAACAAAGAAGTAATACTCTAGGGATGACACATGGTCTGAAATGGGAAAACATTGTGAGCAAGCTGAGGAGTTTCACTTCATACCGCATCTAGGTTCTTCTGGTGTTCCTTTCATGAACAACATGCAAGGAGAACTGTTGATGATGTTTTTGAGACGAGTATTGATATCCTAAACAAAGATTCAAAGCAACTTTATTAGGTGAGGCTTTTTGAGGCAGGCCAARCACTGGGACCTTGAAAGGAAAGGTTAGCTTTTTTTACCAATCTTAGTTATGCTTTTTATTTAAAAACTAAAATAGCGTTCGTTTGAACCATTGAAGCATCCCTAGCCACGGGCCTGTCTTAAAAACAGAATTACTACTGGAGAGAGATTTCAGTACATGATAGCCCCAAAAACCAAGTTAGCTTGGTTTTCACTAGTCACACAAAGATAAGAATAATAATGATGAGAGAAGATAGTAGTTAAGTCAATATTTCGTTCTACTCAAATATTAAAATCCTGTTTAACTAACCATGAAAGATTATCTGTGCTTGCATAAGTAGTTACATGGTATGCTTATGTTTGCGTCACTAGTGAAAATCAGGCTTTAGTTTTGTGTTTCAAAAGAATCATTTCCATAAATCGATTTATTAATACTAAAATATATTCAGTTTGTTTCATTTACATATATTATTATTTCCAAGCTTTCAAATCTTAGATCCATTATCACGGAATATGGTATTACAAATGAAAAAAACGACTAAACTGAGTACATGCCAAGCCAGCCTAAAATAATAAATATATTTAGATGAAATGATAACTGAATATTTAATAACACCCACATACGAAGAAACCTTAAATTTATTAAAAGTAGTTATTTTTTCAATAAAATGTACCTCCTTTGGTGGTTCATCAATAACCTGTGGTGGGGTAATGATGCTTGAATGATGCTCTACTTTCTTGGTTAACTCAGGAGCATTAGCACCATTAATCCGGTCAACTACCTTCTGATTCTAAAAGAATAATTAGAGTAATGTGACAATTTATGATCAGGAATTTTWAAAATATCCACCAGTCATTGAACAATGTCTGGTCAGAATTGGAATTCATCCGGTCAAATCTTTGCCTTGCCAGTCATTTTGAGCACTGAGTAACGTCGAGCCAGATATGTGGTATAATTGGTGACTGACCAACCATTATTAGAGACAATAATATTTATTAGATCCAATAAGGACTAATAGTAGGAATTATGGTCAAGTTGCCCCAGAGTCAAGTCACCTGGAGTCAAGTCGCCTGCAATGTATGGTCAAGTCGCCAGGAGTTTTTTTACTTATGACAAACTGGATCATTGTTTGATAGGGGTTGTACTAGTATACGTCGTAATAATTGACGAAAACTAATCTAAAATGCCTAACAAATGTTTTATAAAGCTTTAATACTGCTAAATAAGTTATATTTGTGTTTCTGGTTTGACAATTCCCTTAAGTAAAAAACTCCGGGCAACTTGACCAAGACTCCGGGTGACTTGAATCTCAGGCAACTTGACCAGATACCATTAGTAGTAAGGTATGAGCTCAGAAGATATTTTTTCCTTGTACGCTCACTAAGATTCAAAAACATTTAGGTTACCATGAACAATGATCTGATCTCTGTTAATTACAAAGTGAATTGAAAACTTGGCGAAAGCAATGGAAATTATAACGGTTGATTGGACAACACTATGATAATGACATAAGCCTAATGACATCTCTAATGAAGTATAACACTAAAATCAGCCCCTTCATTTACACTTCATTGAGTATCTATAATCTATTCCAAACTCTCTTATGTAGTTGTTTTTGCATTACTTACTTTGAATAAAAGAAAAGTAGGGACTGCACTAATTTCATATTTGTACGAAACCTCTGGTATTTTTTCTGCTTCCAACTAAAAATGAAAGTGATGGTTAGACTAAGGTCAAAGGTCGAACCTCACATAAGCTGTATGCAGTAAAGGCAATAGATAAATAATGTGTAGTTCCATAAATTATCCATTCCCCCACCACAGAGGAATTTGGAATTTCCAAGGGGTAGGGGGTTAGAGAAAGAAAAGAATTACAATTTGTATGGAAGAAATTAAGTATAGTTTCTGGGGCTAGGGGGACATCTTTAAAAACATTCCTCCATGGGGGGAGGTGGGGAGAGGGGTTCTGTCATATGGTTGCTCAAAATATTGAAGTGAAGTCAAAAGGGCGTGACTGTGACTGTTACAAAGTACCTTGCTCCAGTGCCACAGGAAGCCCATGAAAGGCAGGAAAATGGCTGGAAAAAGGCATCTCAAATTTACAGAATTTCAAACTTTTTGTGAGTGAAACTTCATCCAGATAAATGCTTTTAGTTCTAAACACATTTTAATTATTTGTTCAAAAGCAGGGAACAGGGGTGTTGACGACTTGCCATCCCCCTCATCACCCCTGGATCTGCCCCTAGGACTGTTTATTTCCCACTTTTTCAAAAACAGCTTTAATTACTCTGTTATTTTTACCTTAACAAATGTGACATGTGGATTGTCCTTACTCAAAACTTGCACCACATCACTCATCTGCCCATACTGTGGAGACCATGGAGCAAAGAAATAGACCACTGTCAGTGCTCTGTGAAAGGAAATTAGATGAATAAATATTATATACATAAACGAAGCTCCACAGATACACAATACACTGGACCATATGCTGCATACACAACACATTATTTCAACAAGGAGAGAGAGTGCATACCACTATAATTATCATATCTGTGAAAAAATTATTGTTAAAATAATTGCACAAACTAGTAAGCTCAGTAGGCCATAGACCAACAAAACTTTTCATTCAATTTGTAGAACTTTGTTAGTTTACTTTTTCATGGATATATGGTAATATGCACTGTAGTATACAGTCACAGTCAAATTGTTGGAATGATTATGATTTTGTGCAACAAACTATTTTTTTTATTACTATTATTTTTCACACTTGGTACATAATATGTGCTTATTGACTGAGTAGGAGGGCCGTATGGGAAAATATTTGGCTCGAGGTAATGCCGTACAAAATGACCGAGAGCCAAATATTTTCCCATACTACCCAACCTAACTCAGTCAATAAGCATTTTTATCATATGACCCTAAATAAAAAAATATATTTTAAAAGTTGCAAATTATGTCAATATGATTGTAGGTTTCGAGCAGGGCTGTACGGATTCGTACGGCCCTGCTCGCTTAAAGGCATATGGCCCTGCTCATGCCATTTTCCCGAAGGTTTTCTTAAGAGCGAATGCCCGGGCAGATACAGGTCATATGATAATAATCTGTGAATTATCTAGAAATTCTGGTGAAATATGATATTTTGCAACTAGACCTTTGATAAGTAATATAAAGAACTCGAGTCCGTGTTTTATTGGCTCACAGCCATTAAACACACAACGTTTAACATAGCCTCTTGTCTTTATATGCATTAGATAGAAAATTGTAAATCGTTTTTTTTTGCGTGAAATGATAATATGGTGCCAAGTAATTTTGGCAATGACTGTAGCTAGGCTGTTTTCAATTAACTGAGCAAACATCATAAATACAATTATCAGAAGATCATATCAATATACAAAGACTTCCACCAGACTCCATCATCTATGCTATTGATCAAAATGTTATTGGTTTAGAGTAAACAAAAACACAGTGGGATACAAATGGATAGTGGGAATGTAAAATTTAAATAGGCTGGAGAGGTTTTTTCTATCAGGGAACATGTTTCATGTTTCTAATGGGTTTTAAGTAAAAATAAACCAAGTTGAGTATTTAAAAATTTATCAAGTGCAAACAGAAAATGGATTATAATATTAATGCTGAAGTATTATATAATGCTACCAAGATACTAATATCGTTGAAACTTTTACTTTGGAAAAAAAAAAAAACGATTTGTCTCTATGCAAATCATACCATGTACTGTACATAATAAGATGAAGTATCACTAAAGAAAAAATGAAACATGCCTATCTATAAATAGTTAAACTAATGGAATTTTTGTTGTTGTTGTTGTCTGTGGGCTTGTAATAAACATAAATAACTTACTTGACGCTTTTAGGAACATTTCAATTTTTTTAAATATTATTTAAGTTTTTTTAGTAATCATTGCCTAAGGGTCACATCAAATTTCAACTTAGGGRGACTAAAACACTATCAAAGACTGTGATTTTTTCAGAGTTTCTGTTTCAGCTTGTGACAAATAACAAATTATTCTATACTTACTTTCTAGCTTATTAACCTATTCTCACCAAATCTCAACTTGTCGTATGAGTATATAACAAACTAAAAGTATTAGGTTATTTAAAAGAGATTTTTCTGGTGCATAAAATGATTATTATGATTTAAACTGTAAAAGTTATTTATTATCTTAAAAAGGAAGGAATATGTTTTTATAAATTCAGTGATAATTAAAAAAATATAATTTATAAATTGCCCTGTAGGAGTGAAAATTGTCTTCAATAATAAATGGCCTTAAAAATTTTGTAATGCTCATGTAAGGAATTTTTGGGGGATTAAAAACTTTATCAAGATAAAAAGGGGATTTTCTTTGCATTTCGAATAGCAAGGAAATTATTTTCGTATTAAAAATATTAATAAGATAATGAATTTTATTCCAAAATTTGCATCTCAATTGAGCACAACAACTTGCAGTGTATTTTTATTGGCAACACACTGGAAAAGTTGTTGTGCTAGCTTGCTTGTGCACCTTCTATTTTGTTTCTTACAGCAAAGAAAAAAAATTTTTTTTTCGAAAATCCATTTTGTAATCACGGTTTACAGATTWAAAAAAAATTTTTTTTATGGAAGAAATACAGGATGCGAATATATCACAATTAAGGTGATGTTATGCTCTAAAATGCAAATTTGTGTCTAGAGTCTCAGCGTCTCTGCGAAGCTTGTGACATATTTGAGCTTTGTTCACTAAAATCTCTAAAAAGCAAGACAAAAGGTTTTTTTTCTCTTTTGTACAAAATGTAATATTTTAACAATAAGCTTAATATTTTTACAGCTTCTTACAAAATTAATTTGCGAAACCAAACTATAGCAAAATATCAATGCATTGAAAAGCGTAAGAAATAATTTCTCTTAGCTTAGGATTTTTTAAATTATAAAACATAATAATGATAGAAAAATGCTTCTTAAAGAGCACAAATGTGTTGAAAGGATGGTGAATTTATAAGCCTAGCATACGCGCTTGTCGTCCGAAGTTGAGCCTTTTTTCCTTCCTAGTTGTAATAAAATGCCTTTCTTTTCAACTGTATACTTTAAAGACATTAATAAAGAATTCAGGGTATGGATCATTGGATATTTCTGGCTTACCTTGAAGATTCAGAGAGGATTTTATCGAACTGTGCAGACGATGACACTTCGTTGACCGCCATGTTGGAAGTGATGCTATGCGCCTGCGAGACTTGACATTTGGTTTGAAGGCATCTGCGCACGCGCATTATAAATCTGGTTTCTTTCTTTCTTTCTTTCTTTCTTTCTTTCTTTCTTTCTTTCTTTCTT